TATATATATATATATATATACGTACATATATATATACAGTAAATATATATATATAAATATATATATACACAGTAAAAAAAGAAAATAAATATATATATATATAAAAATACAGATAAATAATATTTTACAATGCACGCTGACGCTATGAATTGGAAGAAATTAGACTTTGAAAAAGATGTTTTGATTTTACATTTTTGTCAGATGTGCGTAAAAATCGCCGCGACACTGAAAGAAAAAAAAAAAGCAATAAAATAAAACCCATACAAATAGATATTCTCAAATTTAAGATTTTTGTCATTATTATTTGGGTCAGATTTAATTCTGTCATGATGGAAGATGAAAATTTCTCTTTTTCCAATAAACATTTTTAGAAAAAGTATTTCACAGCACCGAGGCAGCGGTATGGTGCGTTTAAGATTAGCTTGTAAATTCTCAAACAGTATTTTTTTATCAAGGCCTCGCACATTAAAGCACATCCTTCCCAGAGTCCTAATCCCGATGGAGAATTCCTGTTTTACGCCTGAACTGCTCCCACTGAGTCCTGACCATAACCCCATGAACAAGAAGCCGCCTCACCTTCCTCTCACTCACACTGGATGCTCACTGCTAAATATTACTAAACTCAATATTAAAGCCTTATTTTGACCCATTTTATCCTTTGCAAACTAGCTTCTAATACAAACTATATTTTGATTTTTATTTTAAACCAGATGAGCTTTAAGTTCTCTTCATTATTGCATTGACACGGATTTTGGAACTTCTTCTTGGTCTCTTTTATTTTCGGAACTCTATCATCTTTTATATGAATACATTGGGAGCTGTGTGTGTGTGTGTGTGTGTGTGTGTGTGTGTGTGTGTGTGTGTGTGTGTGTGTGTGTGTGTGTGTGTGTGGTCCTCTTATTATGACACGACACACAGCCTCTCCAAACTAAAAGAAACCTATAAAAAACAGATGAGCAGTAGATTTAGCATGTTTAGATATTTATAAAAGAAAAATTCCCTGCTTTTTATTTCAGTGAGTTTGTGTTAGTGAGGGCGGCGTACTGTAAAACTGTCATATGTAATAATTTTTTTATTACATCAGCGGTGCTCTCTAGAATGTGACCCTATTTAACCTTTAGCTCCTTTCCCAGGGTTGGTCCTTGTTATCGCCTCGGACCATAAGCGGCTCCAAGCTGTGCCCCATCCCCT